ACTCACATATATTCACAGATATCCACATATATTCAAGAATGTTGACAGATACCGATACACGTATATGTATTAGCGTATCGGCGACTTGTCACCCAGCTCAGAGTGTAATCTGACACTGGGATGGTGTGTTCTGATTGAGTCGTGAAGGTAACCGCCATAGGCAGAATTTCCATACATGGCCGGAAGTACGCTCTTCAAAGAAATAAATGCATAGAAGATAATAAAAATGTTGATTTTGTTTATTCATGAAACATTCAATACAAATGCAATATTTTTTATTGAACGATGTCAGTCACATGATCGTTAACTGGTGTCGTGCACAAAGGCAAACGTTTTTAACTTTTGTTGCTTTTATACAGCATTTTTTGTAAGACTGCACGAAAATCTTACGGAAAGGAAATCAAAAGCAGAATGCGCGTGCAAGTTGTGACAATCATGTGCAGTGACAATGACTATTAAAGATCAAACGTCAGTCAACATTTTGTCATACATTTGTCGATTTCTTGGAAGTGGGAAAATGCGGAGGCTGAATGCTGCAATCGCAACATCGCCATAGGACGTCTTCAATTCAAACCCAGATCGTCCGAGAAGCGGCGGACCAAGAGTTACCCTCCCCAACAAGATCGCTACATACGGGTCTTTCACCTACGTCGTCGAACATGCTACATGCTACTGCCACCGAGACTCCAGGCATATGCCTGGTTTGAGTAGGTACCCGACAATCAGGAGTCGTCTGCGAGAGCTGGGAATTAAATCCAGGAGACCGGTATTTGTCCCCGTATCAAAATGGAGAAAATGCACAAAATTTGACAAATATTTTATCACGTTAAATGACACATTTAAAAAATTCGAAATTGTGAAATAAGGGAATATTACAACAAACGACATTATCTTAAAACTGCTACGAGTCAAGCCGATAACGCACATCGACAGAACCAGCATCTCTCATGGTGCTGGCCAGATATAGTTAGCCAAACAAATGTAAGACGTTAATATCTTCATCTGTATCTACAGCTGCTTATCATCCACCCTTGTCAAATCACCCGTACCACGTATACATTCGTTGCATACCAGCAACTGGTAAATTATCATTCTTACTAAACTTCACCCATTAACACCTTTATCATCAATGCCTCGGTCAAACTAAATTATATAATTCTGTCTAGATAGCGCCACTTAAGTCAATGAGATTATCTGTAGTAGCTAGAATAGGTTATAAATACGGACGACAGACACTCACAAACCATTCTGTGGCTGTCTAATAAACTGACTGTTTGTTCACTCAGGTAAGAAACCTTACTATCTTGTACTCTGTTAATTCTTGACTATATGCTTTTACCCTTGGCAATACCTTGGCAAGTTTAATTGGTAGCTGTAAGTGTCATACTTGAGTGTATATCTTAGATATTCCCATGTACTACTTCTGTGCACACAATTTGCCAATTCTGTTAACTGTAGTACGTTGTTTACCGTTTGGAATATGTATTGTGGCTGAACTGAATGTATCTTGTGTGAATGCCAACTCTATAGGTATTAGTTAGAGTGTCGGTTATACTATATTCAATCATATGTAAACTGTTGTATTACGTTGTGTACCTTGAAATATATGTATCCTGACTAATGTAGTATGTATCTTTTGTAATGATTCTATATCTTGTGGTCTTGTGGTAGAGCGTCCGCCCGGAGAGCGGAAGGTCCGGGGTTCGATCCCCGGCCGCGTCATACCAAAAGACGTTAAAAGATGGTACTTGTTGTTACTCTGTCTGGCGCTCGGCATTAAGGGGCTAAAACAAGGACTGGTTGGCTCGGAGTCAGTATACTGTGTCTGAGTGGGGTATTCATGTTAAACTGCGACATGGTATCTCAGTGGGCTAGCACTATAAATCGGCATCAGTCCGGACTAGTACAAGCAGCCACACACACACACGTGCATGCACGTCGTTATATAAGTGCAATAATCTTGGACGCGACGTTAAACCCAATTTCACCTCACCTCTATATCATGTTCATCTAATGTTCTTCAAAAATATGTGCTTCTACAACTGATTGTCAACATGATCTAATAATTGACTGTAATAATTGATTGTAAACATTTCTATTGTTGACTGATTATATATAAGACCCTGTGGCTGTCTAATAAACTGACTATTTATTCACCCAGGTCTTGTGTAGGTGGCTGATTCCCCAACTCTCGTTTTAATGCCTGTATTGAGACCTTTGCATCGCATACGAGGGGCAAATAGGATCCGGGCTGTACAGTTAAATCACCCACCCTACAGTCCAGACTTAGCCTCCAGAGACTATTTCCTGTTCCGGCAAATGAAATCTGCCCCACGTGGAAGACGCTTCCAGGATGACGAGGACATAAAGGCTGCAACAGAGGCGTGGTTAGAGGGCCAATCTGCGGATTTCTATAAAAAAAAAGTGATATTAAAAGCTTGAAGGACAAATGGAATAAGTGTATTGAGGTGAATGCAGATTATGTTGAAAAAAAGTGCAAAAGATATTCTGCGCCTTGGTCTTGTATTGAAGTTGCAAAACTTATTGAACGCCCCTCGTACGAAAGGGCAACACAGTACAGACATGGACTCTGAGAAGGCATCGAGTCTGGTTCATGGATCAGTGATAAATCATGATTTCTTCTCCAATGCCGAGATGCAAAGACAACGTGTCTACCGACGTCGAAATTAACGTTTTGCGTTCGACAGATCGACAGGTCGACAGATTCGGTGGCGGAAGTGTTATGGTGCGGGGAGCTATATCCCACACATGGAGATTTGGCTTGGTGGTGGTTCAGGGGAATCTGACAGCAAATCGGTACATCGACCAAATTCTTCAACGTCACTTTCTTCCCTTTTTAGGGGTTAAAACATGACAACGCTACACCACTCAAAGCTCGTCTCATTGTTGTAATTCAAACCTCAATGTCATGCTATGCCCTTCCAGATCTCCGGATCTGAACCCGATAAATCATCTGTATGATGAACTCGATAGACGTTTGTTTGTTTGTTTGTTGTTTAACGCCGCACTCTGCAATGACGGCGGTCTGTAAATAATCGGGTCTGGACCAGACAATCCATTGATTGACATCATGAGCATCGATCTCCGCAATTGGGATCGATGACATGCATCAACCAAGTCAGCGAGCCTGACCACCCGATCCCGTTAGTCGCCTCTTACGACAAACATAGTCACCTTTTACGGTAGCTGAATGACTATTTTACCTCGGATCTTCACGGGTCTCGATAGACGTGAAGGTCAACATCAACATACGCCACAGACACACGCGTTGCAGGAAGAATGGAGGAGAAGCCCACAGGACACAATCCGTAGACTTATTCAGTCTGTGCCAAGGAGATGTAGAGCAGTGATAACAGCACACGGCGGTCACTCCAGGTACTGATCGAAACGCACTGTCGGCTATTTTACATCAGCAGTTTGCCCCAGCTGTTGACAGCTTTTATTTACATAAAACAGGTGTTAAGATTAGTTGTTTACGTTAAATATTTACTTCAGCCTTTTACATCAGTTGACGTCAAATGTTTATATCATCTGTTTAACTATGCTCCTCAGATCAGATGTTTACCAATTCCTGTTCTTATTTGTGTTGTCAGTCAGTCAGTTTTTCACAACGGATGGTTACATCAATGGTTCAAATCAGTTTTTAACAACGGGTGGTTACATCAATGGTTCACATCAGTTTTTAACAACGGATGGTTACATCCTTGGTTCACATCAGTTTTGAACAACGGATGGTTACATCCTTGGTTCACATCAGTTTTTAACTGGTTATATCCTTTGTCTAGATTCGATTTCCACATCAGCTCTTAACATCACGTGGTTAATCCTTTGTTTACATTTGTTGTTTACATTATTATTTGTTTGTTTGTTTAACGCCGCGTTCCACAATATTACAGCTATATATCGGCATCTTCCAAGGGAAGTGAGTTAACTGACTATAAAAGTTCAGTTTCCACCCTTGCCGAACTAGGCTGGAATTCCGGAGTTACACTTTGATTGGACTAACGAGTCTATGCATAGTCCAATCAAAATCGCGTCACAAACATCCGGTTCGTAACCAAAATGGATTTCAATGTGCAGATTTCGGTCGACTGCAGGATTGGCAAAGCATGTGTACCGTCAGCTGGGCGTCGACAGATATTTTCCAAATGTTTTCATGTTATTAATCATGGTGCTCAAATGATTTGATGCACGTCGCGAGGTAAGACCCGTTTTTATTACAACACAGATCTCGATAATCGATCAGATCGTCTTGACTGGGCGCCGCCATGTTCTTCGAAGCAAATGCAAGTGATGCGAGAGGTGGAATCTGATAGGTCAGTAGGAGGGGCATAGAAGGGTCATAGCTCGTAATATCCACTGGTGGCGCTACGATCGAACCCAGAAATTCCAACGTAGTTCGACAAGGGTGGAAACTGGACTTGTGTAGTCAGTTAACTCCCTTGCCTCGGGAAGATATATGTCGGCGGTCTGTAAATAATCAACAATCCAGTGACTGACATCATGAGCATCGATCTACGCAATTAGGATAAGATGACATATTCTTTACGGGTTGTTTACATTATTAGGTTTGAATACATGATGTAGGGTTTTGACTGCTTTGAAATGACATTTGTATTACATTAATGCATGACTTGTTTTGCAATGTTTACTGTTATTCTAAAATTAAATTTCTCTCTACACACAGTTTAGTTAATTGGACAACAAACATATAACATCGGTGACGTCGTATGCCTGGCACACCACTGATGTCAATGCACGTCTTGCACAACACTGATGACATTGATCGTCTTGCACAACACTTGTGACATTGAGCGTCTTGCACAACACTGGGGACATTGAGTGTCTTGCACAACACTGGAGACATTGAGAGTCTTGCACAACACTGGAGACATTGAGTGTCTTGCACAACACTGGAGACATTGAGTGTCTTGCACAACACTTGAGACATTGAGTGTCTTGCACAAAACTGGCGATATTTAGCGTTTTGCACAACACTGGAGACATTGAGTGTCTTGCATAACACTGGAGACATTGAGCGTGTTGCACAACACTTGTGACATTGAGCGTGTTGCACAACACTGGAGACATTGAGCGTCTTGCACAACACTGGTGACATTGAGCGTGTTGCACAACACTGGAGACATTGAGCGTGTTTCACAACACTGGAGACATTGAGCGTCTTTCACAACACTGGAGACATTGGGCGTCTTGCACAACACTGGTGACATTGAGCGTGTTGCACAACACTGGAGACATTGAGCGTGTTGCACAACACTGGCGACATTGAGCGTGTTGCACAACACTGGAGACATTGAGCGTCTTGCACAACACTGGAGACATTGAGCGTGTTGCACAACACTGGGGACATTGAGCGTCTTGCAAAACACTGGTGACATTGAGCGTCTTGCACAACACTTGAGACATTGAGCGTCTTGCACAACACTTGAGACATTGAGCGTCTTGCACAACACTGGAGACATTGAGCGTCTTGCACAACACTTGAGACATTGAGCGTCTTGCACAACACTGGAGACATTGAGTGTCTTGCACAACACTGGAGACATTGAGCGTGTTGCACAACACTGGAGACATTGAGCGTCTTGCACAACACTGGAGACATTGAGTGTCTTGCACAATACTGGAGACATTGAGCGTCTTGCACAACACTGGTGACATTGAGCGTGTTTCACAACACTGGAGACATTGAGCGTGTTGCACAACACTGGAGACATTGAGCGTGTTGCACAACACTGGGGACATTCAGCGTCTTGCAAAACACTGGTGACATTGATCGTCTTGCACAACACTTGAGACATTGAGCGTTTCGACAACACTTGAGACATTGAGCGTCTTGCACAACACTGGAGACATTGAGCGTCTTGCACAACACTGGAGACATTGAGCGTCTTGCACAACACTGGAGACATTGAGCGTCTTGCACAACACTGGGGACATTGAGCGTCTTGCACAACACTGGAGACATTGAGTGTCTTGCACAACACTGGAGACATTGAGCGTCTTGCAAAACACTGGTGACATTGATCGTCTTGCACAACACTTGAGACATTGAGCGTCTCGACAACACTTGAGACATTGAGCGTCTTGCACAACACTGGAGACATTGAGCGTCTTGCACAACACTTGAGACATTGAGCGTCTTGCACAACACTGGAGACATTGAGCGTCTTGCACAACACTGGGGACATTGAGCGTCTTGCACAACACTTGAGACATTGAGTGTCTTGCACAACACTGGAGACATTGAGCGTCTTGCACACCACTGGAGACATTGAACGTCTTGCACACCACTGGAGACATTGAGCGTGTTGCACAACACTGGAGACATTGAGCGTGTTTCACAACACTGGAGACATTGAGCGTCCTGCACAACACTGGTGACATTGAGCGTCTTGCACAACACTGGAGACATTGAGCGTGTTGCACAACATTGGAGACATTGGGCGTCTTGCACAACACTGGAGACATTGAGCGTCTTGCACAACACTGGAGACATTGAGCGTCTTGCACAACACTGGAGACATTGAGCGTGTTTCACAACACTGGAGACATTGAGCGTCTTGCACAACACTGGAGACATTGAGCGTGTTGCACAACACTGGAGACATTGAGCGTCTTGCACAACACTGGAGACATTGAGCGTGTTGCACAACACTAGAGACATTGAGCGTGTTTCACAACACTGGAGACATTGAGCGTGTTTCACAACACTGGAGACATTGAGCGTGTTTCACAACACTGGAGACATTGAGCGTCTTGCACAACACTGGAGACATTGAGCGTCCTGCACAACACTGGAGACATTGAGTGTCTTGCACAACACTGGAGACATTGAGCGTCTTGCACAACACTGGAGACATTGAGCGTCTTGCACAACACTGGAGACATTGAGCGTCTTGCACAACACTGGAGACATTGAGCGTCTTGCACAACACTGGCGACATTGAGCGTGTTGCACAACACTTGAGACATTGAGCGTGTTGCACAACACTGGCGACATTGAGCGTGTTGCACAACATTGGAGACATTGGGCGTCTTGCACAACACTGGAGACATTGAGCGTCTTGCACAACACTAGAGACATTGAGCGTGTTTCACAACACTGGAGACATTGAGCGTGTTTCACAACACTGGAGACATTGAGCGTGTTTCACAACACTGGAGACATTGAGCGTGTTTCACAACACTGGAGACATTGAGCGTCCTGCACAACACTGGTGACATTGAGCGTCTTGCACAACACTGGAGACATTGAGCGTCCTGCACAACACTGGTGACATTGAGCGTCTTGCACAACACTGGAGACATTGAGCGTCTTGCGACCCGTGAAGATCCGGGTGAGAATTGGTCTTCAGCAACCCATGCTTGCCATATAAGGCGACTATGCTTGTCGCAAGAGGCGACTAACGGTGGTCAGGCTCACTGACTTGTGAATGTCATCGTATACCAATTGCGTAGAACGATGCTGATGATGTCAATGATTGGATTGTCTATTTACAGACCGCCGTCATAGAGATGGAACATTGCTGAGTGTTGCGTTAAGAAACAAACAAACAAACAAACATGAGCGTCTTGCACAACAATGGTTACATCGCGCGTCTTGCACAACATTGGTGTCTTGCGCAACACTGATGACGCACACGTGTCTTACACAATACCACTGATATCATGAATATAGATCGCCGTTTATTTACACCAATTTAAGCGTCATGTCGTCATACCACAGCCTCGCCCGCCTCTCTGTGAAGTTTAGTCGTGTACGTTTATCCGTGCAGCTGCGATTGATACCAGCGACGGTTGCAGATGATATCGATGACAGCGACATGTCGTCTGCTGTCTCCCGACGCTGCCAGCCTGCCAGCTTATTCGGACATCGGTTGTGAAGTCGGCTAACTTCTTGTAGCCAAATACGTTTCGATCAAGGCTTAACCTGACTTCCCGGGCAAGTAGGGACAAGACCTTTAGCAGGTCACAGAATAAATCATTCACTCATTCCAAGAGCAACAATCCCTTTCGTCAGTTTCTCCAACACTTGAACAATCAGCCGTCTCTTTTTTACTCCCTGCAATTCATCAAATCCTCCCTATTTTGAGTGTGAAGTCTAGCATTTTTGCAATTCAAAAACTTGATTAAAAATTTGTTTCGTCAACAATTTAAAAAGAATGAATGTTCACATGTCCCCGGGTACTGGAAAGAAACGACATGTATTGTGTGACCAATATACTGTCAATGGCTGATTTGGAGGTCTCCTAAAATACAATACTTTTAACAGTTTTGTTAATGTATTGGTATATGTTGAGGATGTATGTGACAACATGACACTTCGAATGTTGTAACTAAAAAGGACATCGAGCCATATGTTCTGCCACCTTGCTAGGCGCCAACATCACGGGATGATGGTAAACAAGGCGTTATAGCCCTGACCTACATCCGGGTACTGATATCGTGAGTTGGCACGCTGCCAACAGCAATCGGACAGCGTGTCAGGCTTCTAGGGTCGACTAGACACACATAACAACATGTGTCAGGATCCACAATGACGTGTTTCACAGCAGGGCGTCGGCAGGTACTGAATGTCACATGTGGCAAGCAGGAAATGGAGCTCACCTTCGTGAAGCGTGAATCTGGCACGACCTTGCTGAGGGGATCCAAGTTACTGCTCACATGCTATTTTTACTGAAGCAACATACTATTTTATTGCAATTCACTGTGTGTTTTCAAAAGGAGTGCATTGTGTGACTAACAGGCATATTCTATATCAATGCAAAAAAAACACCCGAATAACTATGAATCTGAATCTGATATACAAATATTAAGTCTCGAGTCACTAGTGTAGAAACCACCTTATTGTAGAATCCTGCATTCTGATTGGTCCGCTTTGCGGTATAGAATCTACGTTAGACCATTATTTTGCTGCTGCCCGCCTCACCACGGAAGAAAATATTTGTTCCGGTGCACGGCTTTCGCAAACACGCTCGTTTTGGCAATTTCAAACACTGATCTTACTTCATTAACGTCGCTGACCTTCATTTACGTCGCTGAACTTCATTAACGTTGCTGAGGATCGTGTTGTGGTTCCCCGATTATTTACAGCAATTGTGTCACTATATTTCAGGCGTAAATACTTAGAGCGTGCCTTTGCAAAAAACACAGGTAACATCAATACGGAGTGTCTTCACGGGGTATTGAAGCGCTCACAACGTGTATTGAAGTTGAAGCTATATGGCGGCGGTCTGTAAATAAACGTGTTTGGACCAGACAATCCAGTGATTGACGTCATGAGCATCGATCCACGAAATTGGTTTACGATGACATGCATCAAGATGCAGCGAACCCGACCACCCGATCCCGTCACGACAAGCACAATAGCCTTTTACGGCCAGCATGGGTTGCTGAAGACCTATCCTACCCCGGATTTGCACGTGTCCAACGTGTATTGATGTGCCCACAGCGTGTACATTACAGTTGTGGTCAATGTGGACATTAGACTATGGATATGTCTTACGTGTGTCGGCAATTCATCTGTTCAATCGACTCGTGAGGACTCGATTATTTACAGACCACCGTCAAACAGCTGGAATATTGCCGAGTGCGGCGTTAAGCAACAAAACAACAACAACAAAAACAACAACATGAGCGTCTTGCACAACGTTGGTTACATCGCGCGTATTGCACAACATCGCGCGTCTTGCACAACATCGCGCGTCTTGCACATTGTCAACATCGCGCGTCCTGCACAACATCGAGCGTCCTGCACAACATCGCGCGTCTTGCACAACATCGTGTGTCTTGCACAACATCGCGCGTCTTGCACAACATCGTGTCTTGCACAACATTGGTGACAACAGGTAGCCCACCTCGTAAATATCTACATGTCGACTCTACGCTACGTTCTCGCTTCGGCTACATAATAATAATAATTATTAAATGTTTCTCAGGCACATTTTTTCTCAAAAGCGAGGCAAGAGGATTTTTATACCTGCACAAAATACCAACAGACACATACATTGAAGTCTCCTCTTCATACAATGTCAGCTGTTAAACATGGATATTAGTGTCTACTATATTAAATATTTCAATGGCAACAATAATGACTGACACTCATGATTTAAATCTACAGGTAACCTAATTCTGCACATCTTTTTAATCTCCATTCTACCATGACACAATTAAACGCGAATTATTTAGTGTTATCAAAGATGTTAGGTGAAGCCGCATTCGTTCTGGTTTTAATGCCCGATAAACATGTTTATAATTTCTTATTTTTTGTAACCTTCTCCAGTCTATTATAATTCCATTCTATAATGACAAATACAATGGACCCATTCCCATCCAAATCTTCGTTTCGGAAATGACATTACTATTTCTGTCGCTCCTATTTCTCTCTTAGCACAGACAGTCTCTCGCTCATGTGAGTATTTTGACTGGACGGCTGTTTTAACATCGTGCTTTTTCAAGCATCGATGATGTTGTAGATGACAAAACGTTACTCCAATAGCAATGGATAAAGCCACATGAAGAATTATATTTCTGATCAAATAAGGGAAAGAAATGTAAGACTGTAATTCAGTTTTAATTTTGATTTTCAATGAATAAAACAAAGGTTGTTAAATAATTGTTTAATACAAAATGTACAGAGGAAACGGGATTTAAGCATGTCAAATACATTAAAACATCGTTAGGGTCGATCGATGATGAGAAATAAGAGATAGTGAGTGAGTGAGTATGGTTTTGCGCCGCTTTTAGCAATATTCCAGCAATATCACGGCGAAGAACACCAGAAATGGGCTTCACACATTGTACCCATGTCGGGAATCGAACTCGGGTCTTGGGCGTAACGAGCGAACGCTTTAACCACTAGGCTACAGTTTCTCCGTGGCTTAATAAACATTTTTTAATTATCAAGTGGGCTTTGGTGTTAGGATTTGTTTTATAAAGCAGTTGTAGTTTTGTGTAGACTATGGGTGATTAACAGTGCTCGTGAGAAGTATTTTCTTGGCAACTAAAATGTATGGAATTAATTGAAAATAAAACATCTATGGTACTAGGTATACACTGCTCATAACCAGCTTGCATGTCGAGCATGCTCGGTGGGCTTTTTTCATGCCAGCTGTTGCCAGGTAACAGGAACTATATCCTCCCAGGTAACCTGGCGGTATAGATTCAAACAGGGACAGGAATCGCGGTGTTATGTCAATACAAAGTACTGATCGCAGTGATTGCACACAGAGGTGGAGGTGTGATACGTGTTAGTTTGGATCACGTGAAGCTG